AACAGAGGTTTAAAGAGCTTGCACAGCTAGAAATGACAGAGCCCAGAAAGTATGCAGTTTGATACCAGAACTCAGTCTGAGTCAGTCTATTTAACTGCAGGACTTCTCAGAGCCTCTCAGTCTGCAATCTACAACAAAATGAAAGCATATTCAGCATTGCTCAAACTACTTGACCACAGAATCCTCTTTTTTGTGGCATATTCCTAGAGTTTTATGGATGTATTTTGGAAATGTTACCAAAAAAGTTTCCGACCCATTTGCCTGGAAAGTTGGTAGAGCTTTATTTACAAGTCAATAACAAATAACTTCGTTATAATCCCCTGTGGCCTAATAAACCTAAGAGATATGGGATAAAAGTCGTCTCAATCGGAAAGCAACGGCAGCCCAGGGTTACTGTCAAAAAAGCAATAGAGGAGAACAAGATCCAGGTGAGAGAGGCCAAAAAACCAAAAAATAGTCCTAGTAAGTGAAAGGTACAAGATCACCTTTCTTTCAGCAAAATCTATGACTATTCAGTATGTTGGACTAAGTAAGGCAGCAGAAAGTTAAATTTGGTTTATAACACAGAGGAGCCTGCAGATCCTCTGTAGAGGATGAGTGGACACTGGTATTGTTTACTCATCATTTGTTCTCTTTCTTCCTCTTTCTAACATGTTTCCCCTTGTAATTTACCCTTTTTCACTCAGTCTTGTGCTTCCTTAAGCCAATCACTCTCCTCGTCCATGAATGGTGTAGAAATGAATCAGTCACCTTAAGCAATTCTGGTCAGTGAGACTTTAAAGGCGAGTCTATTTGGGGGTTTCTGGGAAAGGTTTGCCTGTTCGTGGAAAAGAGACACATGGGAAGGTATTGTTGGGTCTGCCTGTGATGCTTGGAACTAGACAGAGTTAACATTAATAATGAGAATGGTAGGGCAGAAAAAGAGAAAATTCCTTATTCTCTTAGGTACTGTTTTTTTTCTTTTTCTTTTTTTTTTAAACTGGCTAACCTGGGGGGCATACTAAAGGGATCGATTTTAGATAAGGAAATAAGTCACTCATTTCCAGGGAGTAGCATTGTGCCAGGCAGAGTTTCAGCTCTGACTCCCTATTTCAGGTGACTGTCAGTTGACTGCTTTAGGAACGAGGGGCTGGGCCTGTTATGCCTGTGGTTTAAACAGTATTGCAACAGAGAAGAGGGCCAGTGCCAGCTCAAAGATTGCTGCTAAATTGGTCAAAGTGGGACTTTGTTGGAAAAGATACGAGGAGAGTAGCTGTCAGATGAGTGGAGTAAGACTGGAGCAAAGAGCTCCAGACAACTGCAGCCGAGGGCTGTAGGGATCCTTCCTGTTCCTACCCTTGGTCCTCACCTCTGGATGCCCCCAGTTGCATGGCTGTCTGTGGGTCTTGTGAAATTCCCACTTGAAATCCACAAGGCCTTCTGTCCCTCCACCTCAAAACATGAGACTTTCTGCCTGTATTCTTGCCTAAGAGTCCCCAGACACAGCCTGGAGAATAAGCACCTCCTGTCAGATGCATCTAGAGAGTTGGTTACTCTGGAGGAATGGAGACTCGATAAGAATAGAAAGGGGCAGGTGGTATCTCTTTGCCCAGATAATCCTGTCTACATGCTCCCTGCAAAGTTATTTGACAACTATGGGCTTCAGAGTCTGCTTTCAATGGATTTTTAGATCTCTTTAAGGAGCAGAAGTGAGTACTCCTATCTTTATTCCATGTACTTGCTCATGTAGTTTGTCCAAGGCTTCACATTTACTAAGTAGAGGCGTGAGGATTAAAATCCAAGCTACCTACCTCCCAACATCTGTGTACATAACCATTACACTAAACCAGACCTGTCAATGTTTGTCCCAAGTAACTTCATGCATAAGAATATCCTGTGGGACTTCCCTGGTGGTACAGTGGATAAGAATCCGCCTGCCAATCCAGGGGACACAGGTCTGATCACTGATCCGGGAAGATTCCACATGCTTCGGAGCAACTAAGCCTGTATGCCACAAATACTTAGCCCATGTGTGGCAAGTAGTAAAGCCCGTGTGCCCTAGAGCCTGTACTCTGCAACAAAAGAAGCCTCTGTAATGGGAAGCCCTCACATTGCAATGAGGAGAAGGCCTCTCCTGGAGAAGGCCTGCTCGCAGCAACAAAAACCCAGTATAACCAAAAAAAAAAAAAAAAAAGAATATCATGTGAAGGGCTTGCAGTCAGAAAAAGATAGTGAAACTGATTCCCTCACTGGTCACAATTCCCCACCTTTCACTTCTACCTACATTTTAGCAAAGCCTCTCATTTTCAGTATAGAGCACTGGTTGCTCACTATGGCTGCATAGTTCCACGCTTCACACCCTGCATAGCACAATTAGGTAAGTGGGTTCTCCCTCAGGCTCACGGAGACCACCTTTGTGGGCACATCTGTCATTTAGATACGTCCTACCAGAGGTGGAGGAGCCCACAGGATGGAGGAACCCATCAACTGCTAACGGTTTATTGGACAGGGAATCCCATTTACTAGGATGGAAATAGTTTCCCAGAAATAGGCACTTGGGCAAAGCTGTCTTAGGCAATGAAAAGGCTCAGCTATCATCAAGTTATTTGAGAGTAGCATGGAAAGTTGTCTTATTCATCACCACCTCTGGGACATTTGTTTGAGAGAAAAGAGTAGACCTTGTTTCATACTTTCATCCTTGACTTGGTATATTCATTAAGCAGAGAGCTCTGTGCCAGGCCTTCCAGCTCCCTTCAAAGCCATGAAAGAATGATAGTTATTGAAACTTGTTTATGCATATAATTTTATATTTTATAATTATATACATAACTATAATTAATTATGCTGTAAATATAATGTTTATATACTGTAACTATAATATTAATATGATTTTATATTTTGTTATCTTATCTATGTAGTTGTTATTGTCTTAGAAGTTTATAATCTACAAAATGCTTGCAGTGTGACCGTATTTTTTTTTTTTGAAGGGGAAATGGGAAATCATGCTTATACTTGGAGCAGCCATATTTGCAATGGATGAGGTGGTGATAAAGTTTAAATAAACAAGCTTGTATAGACAAGACAAGAAGCTGAAGATGTTGGTCTAAAGTGCAGAGAAAGAGAAAGACAAAATGCAGTCTGCTTTGAGTACACTGGAAGCAGGGACAAAGATGGTGTTTCTCATGGATTCCACGTGGGTTCAGCTGAAGAGAGCCGACCTAAAGCCATTATAAATTTCACTCAAGAGTTCTGCTCACAATTGTGAAGTGACCCAAACAGAGGGTTGGTTCACCTGGTTCCCACTACTGTGGGAGGAAGCATAAGACAGCAGATGGAAGCAAACGTTTTACCCACAGGACAGGCAGTTCAGTGTGGGAGCCTCCAAAGTACCCATGAAATCACCCATGAGAAGAATAGTCAGCTTTGAACATCAGCCAGAAAGAGCTTTAAACATTTGCCACAGGTAAAGAAAACCAGTGCCAGAGTCTCTTGGTGCCAGTCAGGTAAGACATTTCCTGCCCCTTAGTTCTTATTTACCTCCCTCTTTTAACCTTGGAGGATGGCGAGGCAGCCTGATGGCAAGTGGGGACGGAGGGGCAGAAGCATCAAGTAGGGAAACAGATGAAACTGACTAAGCTTTCTCACTGTGAGCACTTTATCAAGGGTTCTAACCCCATACCAGACATTCTACATATAATTTAAACACCAAATGTAAGTCAGAATGAGTTTCCTAAAGCAATGTCTGTCTTCAGATTCTAACTCTCTCAGCCTGGTCAGAAGAAATGTATTTAAATGTTGGGAAGGACTTGCTAAAAGCAATTTTTCAGGGGACTTTGGGGAATCATACACAAGATCATGCACTGACTTACTCAAGAGAAACTTAAGTATTCATCGTCTTTTTCCCCTTATATAGGAATCAAGTCACAACCTTGATCCCTGTTAACCGAGCTATAGAACTAAAACTTCTCTTTGCAAATTTCTTTTTCCTTTTAGAATTATCTTTAGCCTTTTTTTTTTTTTTTGGCTGCATGTGGGATCTTTGTTCCCACATCACGGGTGGAAGATGTGCCTCCTGCATTGGACTCACGGAGTCTTAACTCCTAGACCACCAGGGAAGCATGTGGTATCCTTAGTTATGTCCAACTCTTTGTGGGGAAGTCTCCTGAAATATTTCTTGATACTGATTTCCAATTCATACTTTTATGGATCTACATCTGTCACTACATCTTTGCATTTTGAAAAAATGCTTAAAATTTGTTTCTTGCATTTGTAATTAAACAGTTGACCAGTGTAAATCCAATAAGAATTTAATTGAGGCCAAATACTTGCTACTTTTAGCATGCCTAATAATTTCCATCTTTGTCTTACTTGAATAGTCCTAAGTATTAGCATTTTATTTTTCTGCTTTCCACTTATTTTTATAAAATAGGTTTAAAGAAAATATTCAAATCACTGCCTAAATCAACAGTGCTTTACAGACAATAGAACAATCCAGACAAAACAGAACCAATGACTGACAATGAATTCCTAGAAAATATGGAGTAGATATATATTTGATGAATTTTGCTTGAATTTTAAGATGAATTCTTTATCATTGTAATTCTACTTCCTTGACTGTTATGTTCAGGCTGCTTGAAATACCTAAATCAAGACTTTCCAGGTTCCCAATACAAAGATGAAAATACTAGGGGAAAACACAATTTTGGTCCACTCCTTGTCTTGTGCTAGAGGTCAATATGTGAGAACAAGATAATTAGAAGGTATGTTTTCCTTCAAATAACCTCTTTGGAAATATTTGTCAAGACATTCAGTGAGAGATTTCAAATGTTACGATTTAGAGTTTCAAAATAATCCAGATAAATAAATGTAAGATGACAGAACCAAATCTTACCAACACTACTAATGTATTAACTAGTTTAATGTTTCTAATTCATGTGTATCAAAAACTTTCATCATGGAAATAGAATTATAATAAGAAATGACAAAATGAGAAAGCATAGAAGCGAAGAACTCAACTTTCGCTTGAATTGTTATTCTGCCACTTGTTAGCTGTATGATCTTGAGAATACTGCTCATCTCATCTCACTGTGTTTCAGTTTCCTCCTAGATAAAAAGGGAAAGATATCATAGATATAATCCATCTCCATACCAGAGTTCAGCACCAATTATGGGGCAGAAAAGAAGAAGATAGATGGTGATGAAAGTATCACCTGCTAAACTTCTAAAGACCAGAATTGAATATGTGGCTTAGATGTGTCACCATTATAGGCTTCCCAAAATGCAACCCCAGTGGGACCTGCTTGTCCCCCTACAACCCCGCCCCGCAGGAGCCCAACACTGTAATCATACAGCATGAAGGAACAGGATATAGGGCCTGCTGTCTGTGGATCCCAAGTTAAAATGAAACAGGACGGGGCAGAGATAAGCATTTAAAAATTATTCTAACTCATCAGGAAGAAAACTACTCCCTCTTTCCCTGTGGAAGGAAACAGGAGTCGACAGAGAGTGGACAAAGGGTATTACACTAGTGAAGCTCCTTCTAAAATGAAGACATCAGATTAAGAGGAAGAAAGTTGTACCCCTAAACATTTCCCAGACATTTGTTCTCTTAATCCATTGGGCTTGACCATTTAACTTATAATCAACCAGGCTCTGGCTATGCCCTTGAGGGGAAAAGATGAGCAGATTTTCAGGACAGTACAGTTCTTACTTTCATAGGGTTGTTCCGCCAGAGGAGTTGCTCATGCTCTTCTATGGGTCCTCCAGGTCTGTAGTGTTGCTTCTACCCTAGAATGTTCTGAAACAGGCCAGATGAGTACATTAACTAAATTAACTTAAAGGTGACCTTGTGCCCCAGGATGAAAATCAATTATTTACTTATTTCCCAACCTACTTTATTTAATACTCTAACCATCCTCAGTTGTTGGCTGGGAGTAGCTGGTTGGAAAGATAGCCTTAGTGTAAACATAGTGGTGGATCCAGAGACTGTCAGTCCATTGAACGTCCTGCAGATGAAGATCTGAGCAGTGCATGTTCACAGCTACAATATGCATATAGCTCATTAGGGATTCCACAGTGGTACCAAGTGATAACATAAAAATACTCCAAATAACATCCTAACAATAACTTGACACCCCATAATCAAATTCTATGGTAAAATTATATTTAAAAAAATTAGATTCCCCCCTCTTGGAAATGAAGTCCAAATAAGTTAAAGTCCAAAAGGATTAAAACCCTAGATCAAATTCTCTTAACTTCATGAGTTAAAGTTAAAAAAATTAAAATCCAAAATTCATTTCCTCTCATTTTCCTATCCTGTCAATCTTAGTCAAGAGAAAGCAGATATGGGGGTGTGTCCCCTTAGCACCGAATCACCTGGAATCAATGTGGTTCCTTCAAGAACCCAGAATTAGAATTTGTCTTCATGATCCCAACTTTTATAAAAAGTCCAAAGGATTCCTAGAACATACAAATTATAAGAGTCTTAGCTCAAAAACTATACAATTTATAAAGCAAACTAATCCTTAGATCATAACAGAGTTACCACAAGAAAATATACTCCCAGATCACATCACTTAATGAGGCCAAAGACTCTATCAAAGGTACCCAAATCAAGGTGAATAAATGAAAATAATCAGGATTTCCATCTCACTAAGATTCATTCATTCACATCACAAATAATTATTGAATGCCTACTCAGTTCCTGGAGGTATTCTAGCAATGAATGAAACAGACAAAAGTCCTTGCCTTCATGGAGCAAAACTCCATTCTACTGGGGAAGACTTTCTCTAAATGAGATAAATAATTAAATATGTAACATGTTAGTGACATGATAAGGAGCGAAAAAATAAAGAGGATATTATGACGTGTTGGGAGGGGATTAGAAATTTAGTTAGGATAGTCAGGTAAGGCAATTTTGAATAAAAACCGAGAGGATGTGAAAGAGCAAGCCCTGGGGTTAATCTACAGAGAAATTCTTAAGGGCAGAGAAAATTGAAAGGAGGGAGGCAGGAGTGTTCTTGGCATGTTTAAAAACGAGGAGGGCTATGTGGATGGAGTTTAGGGAGCGAGGTGATAGAAAGTGATAAAAGATGAAATTAGAGGGACACAGAGAGCCAGATCATGTGGAACCATGTGAGCATTCACTCTGATCTGGAAGCCACTGGAGTGTTCAGAGCAGAATATTGACTTGAACTAACAAGGTCACCTGGATGCTGGGTTGAGAAGAGACTCTAAGGACCAAGTACCAAAGCAGGAAGATCATTTAGGAGGCTATGGGGATACTAGGGAAGGCAGGACTATAGCTTGTACCAGGTGATAGCAGTGAGAGGTTGATAAGTAGTTGGGTTTCTATCTATGGTTTGATGGCTCTCACTTCCAAATTTTTGGAGTTGAGAAAATGTGAGCTTAAAGTCAATTGGGAGAAATCACCCATCAAGAGGTTATCTCCCAGTTCTGATGTGGAAGGAAGAGCCACATCTCCTTTCTCAGGGAGTGACATTTGCAACACTTCTGGCTTCTAAAAACATTTAAAACTTTTCACAAGATGTCAGTCCTCATCAGTAGGTTTTACATTGAGGTACCATTCCTTCCTGTCGAGTGTATTCAAAACCTCTCACTTTCCCCTTTCCCACTGAGTCTCATGGCTCTTGGATCCCACGCTGAAGAGTGGGGCTTTATCTCCTCACATAGCCTCCATGCTATCTTATGAACAGCACTTCAATCTCGATCCACAGGGCTTGTTGCCTTCATCTCTTGCCTCTTCTGGATGACTTCCTCTTGCTTCCTACAATTGTTTCAACAGGATAATCACCCTCAGCAGTGACCTGAACTAAAACTGCTTTTGGAACCTGTACCTCTATGGGCCTGCTGCTGCTACTGCTGCGGCTAAGTCGCTTCAGTCGTGTCCGACTCTGTGCAACCCCATAGACGGCAGCCCACCAGGCTCCGCTGTCCCTGGGATTCTCCAGGCAAGAACACTGGAGTGGGTTGCCATTTCCTTCTCCATCAATGGGCCTAGGGAGTTTCTATTACCTATCTTAAGTCCTCCTAAAGACCTTGTCTTTCCCTTGGATGTCACAAGCCTTCAGTAGCATTCCTTTCAGCAACATCTTTTTCTGCAGCAAGAGAGTAGACACCTAGTGTTACATTTCCTTCCTCTGTTCTACTGCTATCTTTCAGAAAGACTCATCTGAATTCGCAATGGTTCAACCTGATTTTAGATTGCTCCCTTTCATACTCAGCTTATAGTAAAACTAGGGTTGTTTGCTGAATTTGAGTTATCTCCTTAATTCTGTTTTCTTACACACTTTTAATTTTGTCTCTGCTTTTGTTTTCTGGCCCAGACATGCGTTTTTCTTACACACTCCTCTAAGTTTTGCTTTGTGGGATCTCCCATAGTGAGGCATGAAGTCTATGCATTGTGCTTGCCTGCAGCAAAGAAATGCTTCCCCTCACCTTTCTGAGCTGCATAATATTCCCAGGAGACACTTCCCTAACAGGTCAATATGAAACCTAGGGTCTGGACTTAAGACTTGTCATTGTCTCTTCCCAGACTTATGGCGGTAGGACCTGTACTACTCTGCTGCTAGCCTCACTGAGAGCAGACCAGAACACATGCTTTTTTGCAGGCTGGACTATGTGAAAGAGAATGGGGAAGAGGAGAGGAACATCACCTATATTTGGTCTTTGTCATGTGCCCTGAGTCTCATCCCAAACTCATCAAAGTTGCTTCTCCTCTCCTGGGAAGTAATGAGTGTATTCAGGCAAGGACAGTTACTCTAATGGATATTCTCCCATATGCATGGCAATATCAGGAGTGAAGAGCAAGTGTTCCCCTATAAAATTGTGTAAAATACTTAGCATGGTATTTTACATACATTGCCTGAAAAGGGGTTAGAACTCAATAAATGTTGACTGTTATAAATAGAAAGAGAATTAAAGTATTGAGATGAAAATTATTTTCCAGTTCATTATTTATAGGAATAGCTAAAGGGGAAAAGTATAAATAATAGAAAATTATAAATTAAAAAATTATAAATTAGGAGCAAAAATAATAGAAAATTATACATAATGGCAAATTCTACAATACTGGATTATTTAGTTTTTTTTTTTTAACAGTAAACTCCTCTCGCCCCCCCCAAAAAAAGAGTAAACCTCTACACCTAAACTGTTCTTTTAATGCTCATCTATGAATACAACCTACTTCAGACATGGAAACAGCCTCCAGACAAGTGAACATGATTTGGTCAAGTTTTTTCTCAGACCTCAGGACCACAGAACTGGATTAATCCTAATCTTTGGTTACGACACACTCTCCTCATTGGTTCCTCTCTCCCTCCTTCCATCTCTCGCTCCCTCCTTGCATGCATCCCTCCCTCCTTCCACCCGGTCTCTTTCCAAACTGCTCCCTCTCCTAAAGAATCTTACAATATCCACACCTTATTCAGAGTGGAACAGAACTTTAGGATTCTCCTGCCCTCCCCTCCTTCCCCTTCCAGGCAACTGTCTTTAGTTATTGGGCTGAGTCTGAAATTTATTTAATAAACACTGAAAGTGACAGACTGGCCACATCTGGAAGAAAACGCTGCAGTTTCTTTTGGTTTCTCCCAGAATTCTAAGTGCATCCCCAAAGCTCAAAGGAAGGGTGTGGTTTTCACTCAAACTTTGCCCTGTTTGCCAACCTCAGGGAGTCTGGGTTGAGTTAGGGGGAATGTAACAAAACCTGACAATGAATAAGTCTAATGTAGTTTGGAGTTCTATTATGAAACTTCTGTGTAGTTCTGCTTTTCACCCAGTTGTGTCATAAGAAAACAACCAAAACATTCATTTCAGTTTTTGTTAGCCATCTTTTAGAATAATACAAATACATATTCAGTATTTAAATATTCTGTATTGTAACTATCAAATTATCATACGATGTTGAAAATGTATTATGTACTGACTCACAAGTCAGTTTTAAACTCTTCTTTTACTTTCCTTTATTGTAAGTACAGTCATATGTGTGTGCATAGGTATATATATATACTATGTATAATACCACAGATCCATATAAAAATATACACATTAAAAACAGTTTTGGGACTTTTCATTATTTTGAATATGTAAGCAATTTATACTCATTAAAGAAAAAATGGACAATGCAAAAAATTTAGAAAGAAGGAAAAATTATGTCTGGAACAGTTTATCAGTTTATTCAACTGGCAACTGATACTGTTGTGCTGGGTGCTGAGAAAAATACGTAGATGACTAGGACATGGACTGTACTCTATAGGAGAGACACATTTAAGAACATGTACTTATTCAGTGTATTCAGTGAAAGATAAAGTTTGTCAAGCATCTTCAATATTCCTACATCTTCCTGTTACCTTTAACTCATTTAGAGGTGGGCTCTGTTTACCCAGAAATCAGATGATCTGTGGGGGCCTGGGCTGTGTCATGATTTAACTTGAGATCCAGCTTTCTTTAGCCTGCATGTATCTGCACTTCATTGTCTAGAGAGGCAGCAGTTGGAAAGAAATCCTTCTACTGGTTACACGGACTGGGAGGGCTGGGTGGATGAGTGATGAAAGGTTCAGGGTTGATAGTACCCGCTGAGGACAAAGAAACCACACTAAGATAAAGGTTGGAAAAGGGATATGGTTGTGGAGTTTATCAAGGACTCACTCCAAATTTCACAAGGACAATGCCAAGCAGAAAGGTGTTTCTAAGTTATTTTAAATAAAAGTTTGAAGAGGATTTTAAGAAAATAGAATTTAGGCAATAATTTAACATTAAAAAAAAAATCTTTTGGCCACACTGAATGCATGTGGGATCTTAGTTCCCTGATCAGGGATCAAACCCATGCTTCTGTCCATGCCACTGGACCACCAGGGAAGTCCAAATTCAGCAATTTTTGATCTGTAGATTAAGTCACATAGTCATCATGTGTAAAGTTAGAAGTCAAAGTTCAACTCACAGGTTTCAGACTCACAGACTTAGAGAATGCAATTATGAATATGGAAGTAGGGGGGAGGGAAGGGGGAAGGATAGTTAGGGAGTTTGGGGCCAGTGTGTACACACTACTCTATTTAAAGTGGATAGCCAACAAGACCTACTGTATAGTACAGGGAACTCTGCTCAATATTACGCGACAACCGAAAAAGATAAAAGAATTTGAAAGAGAACAGATACATGTATATGTATAACTGAATCACTTTGCTGGACACCTGAAACTAACCAACATTGTTAGTTAACTCTACTGTAAAATAAAAAGTTTTTAAAAAATCAATTGGTTTTATTTACATGTGCCTCAGCGTGTGCTAGTAATGGTAGACTTCCACTGGTTTCAGAAAATTAAAACAGTATATTTCTAAGATTTCGAGATAATAGTCCTGGAATTATACCAAAGAAGTAAAATTGTGAGACTCTATATCAATAATCATTTAACATATCAAGGAACAGGAAGAGAAGTATTTCAGTCCTTCTTAGGTGAGGTGGTTAAGGCAGCTGGACACGAAAGAGAAACTGGGAATTATATAATTCTGACTTTCTTCCACTGATGAAGCAAAACCAGACAGTTTCTAGTTCTCCCTCAATTATGATTTTTATACACACACACACACACACACACACACACACACACACACGCAAAACTTCTAACAAAATCAACATTAATATAAACTGTTGCTTTCATTTATCCATCTGCCTACCATCCGTTCATTCAGTAAATATTTATTATGTACCTAGTATGAGGGAAAGCACTTTTTCTGGGCACTGTATTACCAAATGCATCAACTGAAGAACAATTGCAAGTCATGAAATATGAGTTCATGTAATGAAATGAAGCTATTATGAGAAACTTGGAATTTATTTACAAAATAAATTAGTTTAAACTTAAGAAGCAAATAGTAGTCAGTTTTCAAAACTGAGGGTTGTTTGTTTGTTTAGTAAAGAACACTGCTAAACTACCATGCAAGTCTCAGTTATGAGTTTCTATCACTAATGAGCAAATGAAAAATGCTTCCCATGGCAAGGAGCATCAGCAATGGATTGTTTGATTCTCATTGTGGTTTACTTCATTACACGATGAGTCACATTTTTTCCTTTGTTAGTTTCAGAAGTTGAGACAAATCTGGTGGCAATACTTCATATAGGTTACAAAAAAAGAGGTTGTTGTTCTCCAAACTGTGTATCTGACTCTCAAGTCTCCCTCTAGACTCCTAGCCAGCTTTTATTCTTTGCCAACTAGACATTTCCCCACTAGTGCTCCACAAGCACACAAACACTGTGTGTACGAAGCTTGAACTCTATGTATAATCTCCCACAAGCCTAGTCTTCTTGTATTCTCTCATAATAAATAGTACCACCATCTACTGATAGCTAGTTCCTCAAACGAGAAGTTGGATGCTCATTTAGAACTATCTTTGCTGGCACTCCCATAGTTATTTTAACAGGTCTTCAAATTCTGTTAATTTTATCTTCAGAAGAGATTCTTTGCTTCATCATCCTTGCCACTGCTTTAGTGCCATTCACCCTTATCTTGCCTGAGCCTCCAAAATGATCTTCCTGCTTCTGGTTTCTCAATACTCCACTCTATCCTCTCTACTGACATTAAAGTTATCTTTTCCTAACTTAAATACATTCATGTCAGTCTCTATCTCTCTGAAAGTCTTTGAATGGATCCTGACTCACTACAGGATTGAGTCCAATTATGTAGCACGGCCTTTAAGAATCTCTATAATCTGGTCCTAAATGTTCTTTTCAGGCCCATCTCTCCACAAATATTATGTCTTTCTACTATATGGGACTGCTTGTCTACATATACCGTGCATACTGCTTTTATATCCACGTGCTTCTGAATATGCCATCTCTTTGTGAAGAACTTGCACTGGGTTAAACCCTACTTATCTTTCAGAATGTAGCCCAAATATTACCTCCTCTAAAAGGCTATCTTTGAAGTCCTCTGGAAGAGTTACTTCCGCTACTCTCTGTGTTGGGCTATTCTTTGCTTGACCTTTTTGACACCTTCTCTACCATTCTCCATCTATCTTGTGCCCTGGGAGGCTGACCTCTTTTGACAACATTAACCAGCTTTTTTTTTTCTGACTTTCTGGTGGATTTAAACAATGAGAGGCCCTGAAAGAAGCTCAGAAGGCAGAAGAGAGTTAGATTGTAGTAATATTTCCCTAACTCCCTCTTTTCTTCCCAGGCCTTGGATTGACAAGGGCTGCATTAATCTACCAAAGGAGTTCCTGTTAGGTAAAACTTCCTTATAGCTAGAGCTATCTTTTTGGATTTTGGTAATAGCTCCTTTCCTTTGCCTGTTTAGGACTCGGGGTGGGAGCAGTTTTTCAATGTTGATGCTTGATTATCCCTAACTCTGCTTACAACTTTCTAAATACATTATTAAACTCTCTTTAATCATTCTTTTTGAGTATGTCATCTGTTTCCTATCCTGACTGCTATACTGCTTCTGTACAATTTAGATAACTCCTTGGCTGTATTTGACATGTTGTATTCCAATTATTTTTGCCTACCTGTTCATTTCCTCCATTAGACTTCTCAGGGCAGGTCTGAATCCAGAGAAAGAATCCTCGTGACTAGGTAGAGAAGAGCCTTCCTCTCTTAGAAGGGCTTTGCAAAATCCAGAGTGGGACAGGCAGATGCCAGAGTGAGGAGGGGTCTCTACAGTGTGTAGAAAACCTGCAGGACCTGGCAAGAATCATTGAGAATCAGGCAAGCAACTGCCTGCCTGCCTTGATCAGAGGGGTCAACCTGGCTGAAAAGAGTCTAAATTTAAAAGGAAAATCAGAAAGCAGGGACTGAAAAATGACAGAATTAGCTTTGTCAATTTCTGCCTCACTTGGGCTAAAGTCTGAGATCCTTTGCCTGACATTTGGAATCCAATCATAAAGGCTTTTGGATTTCACATAATAAGGGAACCAAGAAGTATAAATAAAAGGACAATGATTCTGTTAACCACATAAGGTTTCTTAAACTTTTACAACAGTTGGAAGTAAGACTTGGAGGACCCCAATCAGTAGGACTTTTCCTTCCAGCCCAATTTTTTCAACAAATTGAGAAATAAAAGACTAAGAGAGATGGAGCCCAAATAATAATGATAATAGCAATTTGTAGAGCACTTCTTTTGTAATAGGCACTATTCTAAGAGCTGTATATATATGAAGTCAATCTTCACAACAATTCTGTGAGTAGTTACTCAGTCCCATTTTTGTGGGTGGAGGAATTGGAGCACAAGGAAGTTAAGTAACTTGCCCAAAGTCACATGGATGTTATTAAGTGACAGATATATTGCCTTTCGAAATGGAAGACATTTATTACGGATAAACCTGATGTTGGAGATTTATGTCTATAAACAAGAAGGATTTCTAATACTGAACTTCTAGTCATGGCAGTCCTGAACTTCTACAGGCTTCCTTATATGGAACTTGTTTCTGGAAAACTTGGGTCATGGAAGAGCAAAGAAATGATCTTCCTTACAGGCAGGCTGGTTGTAAGGAGAGGGAGAGAAAGAGTAAGAGAGAGAAAAACAGACAGGCAGACAGACAGAGGGGATAAACAGGGAGCTTGCCTAAGTATACCACTTCTCTTTTCATGGTCATCAATCAGATTGAGTAAATTCTCCTTTCCTGGGGAAAGATGAGGTGTGGAGGAAATTAGGGATATTAACATTCGGGGCTTCCCTGGTGACTCAGCAGTAAAGAATATGCCCTCAATGCAGGATACTTAAGAGACGCGGGCTCAATCCCTGAGTCAGAAAGATCCCCTGGAGAAGGAAATGGCAATCCACTCCAGTATTCTTGCCTGAGAAATCCCATGGACAGAGGAGCCATGGGGTCGCAAAGAGTCAGACATGAATTAGCAACTACATAACAACACTAGTGGAGCCCTTTGCATCTAGAAGGAAACATCAGGAATCGGAAAGAGACGTTTTCCCCCTCAATGTTACGTACCTATATACATTCCTTTTTACAGTTCTCAATATCAGTACTACATTGTACTGAAATTATTTGCTTGTCTGTCTCTACCTCTTCCTTCCTGCCTCAACTTCATTCTTCTTAATGGCATACATCTTTTTTTGTTAATCTCTGAATCTCTGGTGACTAGTACATAGTACGTGCTTGATAATTGTTAAGTGAAAGAATGAACAAATTTTGTGCTAAAAATCCCAGAAAATACAGAAATAAGAATTTAACAGCACACTAGGATTTGTTGTTGGCTCAGGAATCAATTAGTTGTTTCAGCTCCTAGACCTTAGGTCATCCTGAGCCTCTTTAATTCCTGGCTTTTATTTTTAATAAAAGAGCATAACAGGTGAGCTGGAGAAGCTGAAAGCTTCCTACTTACTGCTGCTGCTACCCATGGCTTTTCTGCAACTGGAATCAGACAACAGAAAGAAGCAACATAGCCTAGCAGCTCGGCATATATCTTGGTTTTCCGTTGTCTAGAAAAAAAGAGAACTTGGATTTTGGTGGCCTTCAACCTGGTTTTGAAAACCCAGTTTGCAACTTTCTAGCTGTGTGACCTTGGGCAGATTATGCTTGTGTATAGTAGTTACGTTCTAACAGTTTTTAGGCAGCTCCCTTCTGCGAGGACGTCATCAACTGTTCAGAAAGTCTCCGGTTTCGCTGCTTTGATGGAATTACTCATACCCTACCTCATTGCCTCCCTTTCTATTTTTGAAATCAGCCTGCTTTATCTTCCAGACATCAGATTCTGCTCTCTGATAGCATGTGACTCTCGAGAAATGTGATTTTTCCTCTTACTTCTTTATCCTGTTTTTCTAGTTTGTGATTGTATCTCAATTAACCATTTCCTTAGTTACTGATTGACTAATGGAAACCAGCTTCATTGACATAATTGTGAACTTTGACTACCACTGACATCTATTTGAATCACAGTAGCTTGTCAAATTGCCCTGATATTTTTATTGCATCTTCCAGAACTGTTGAAGCTTACTACCAGTGGTCCCTTCAAAATGTGGCAGTTATTTTAGCCTCTCAGTAGTTATCCAAATGTAACTAACACATGTTTCCTTGACCAATCAAGTCTGTGTATTTTGTACATGGGAACACATAAATCTGGTAATGCTATATGAAATTATTCAAAACCTAAGTATCTAAAGAAATGGTCATTTATAAACCAGGGCCCATAAATGAATAATTGGGAAAGACTTCAGCAAGACCCAGTTTTTCAAAACTGGACTGCCACTATATTATGGAACACCTTCATGTCATCTTGCTTCCATTTACTAATACTTTCATGTTCCTCTTATTGCAGTAAGCCAAGTTCATTCTTGTCTTCACAGATTTAGAAACTATTCCCTGAAGGCTACTAAATAATAAGTACCAGTGACATTTGCTCATATTTACCTAGGTTGGTAAAATGTTTCCCACCCATTGTCTTACTGGATTTGAGTTCTAAAACAGAGGATCTTATATGGAGCCATCTTTAGATAGAGTAATGACTTTGTGTTTTATGTTTTTGACACCCTGGCTGTGTTTCTGTCTCCAAGACCACTGCTCATTTATTAATTCATTTAACTAACATTTATTGAATCTGCTGTTTTAAGCACTGTGCTAGAAATTCTGGGGGGAAAAAAGATGAACATGATTTGTTCCTGCATGTAAACCAGGGAGAAAGATTTAAAATTAACCAAGAAAAATAGTGTTAAGGGGGCTTCCTTGGGGGTCGAGGGAAGACTGTGCTCCCAGTGCTGATCAGGGAACTGGATCCCACATGTTCCAACTAAGAGTTCACATGCTGAACTGAAGATCTCACATGTGGCAACTAAGACCCAGTGCAGCTAAAAATAAGTAAATACAATGTTAAGATACTGTGATATAGATTTATATAAAAGCTGTAAGAATACAGCAGGAAGAGAGGCTAATTCAGGCGCTAGCTTTAGGGTGACTTAGGCTTTAGTGAAGAGGAAATTATTTTTTAAAAACTAACAACAAAACAAAACCCTGAAGCAAAGTAAGATTAATTTCAATTCATTTAAAAATTTAAAAATTCCATATCATAGATTAATAACTTTTTTTCTTGGGGCTGTGCGGGACAGTATGTCAGGAGAGAGGGTTGTGAAATCTAACAAACAAGATGGGGTGTCACTACTTCAAAGGGGTTAGAAATCATTGTCCTGCTATTCTAGAAGTTTAAATGCTTGCTCAGCTCTTGTTGCATACAATTTAGGTCATCAGTACTGGGAGAAATTTGTGCCCAATACACAGAGCAAAGGGTTTTAATAACAATCACTTATCTTTATCTTAATATTTATGATAAGGTGACTACATAGTATCAGAATCTAGACAAGTATTTACCATTTCATAAATAGGGGCATTTTAAGTTTTATACTTGAAGGATATTGGGAAACATCCTTAATTCTTGTGTTGTGTGCATGCTCAGTGGCGTCCGACTGCGACCACATCGACCATAGCCCACAAGACTCTTCTGTACATGGAATTTTCCAGGCAAGAATACCGGAGTGCGTTGCCATTTCCTCCTTGAGAAGATCTTCCCTACCCAGGGATTAAACCAGCATCTCCTGCACTGCAGGTGAATTCTTTACCACTGTGCCACCTGAGACCTAATATTGATAGTAAAGGCAATAGTAATTTATTTTCTGTTTGGTTAAAAATATTCTTGCTTTTGTGTGTGTGTGTCAGTGCACATGTGTGTGTGTATGTGCAAGAAATGGTATTTTTAGCACTAGAACATACTGAAACCTCTACTTGAGTTCTTTTTTAAAAGCAACTCTAAAAGAAGAAAGAACAACAGGATTTCCTCTATAACTAATATTGACTTAACTTTATAGGGTCTCAAGCCTGAACTCCTCTGTTTACTCATGAAACAGATCCAGGCTATTGGTCCATTCCGATTTACTTCCAAACTTCACAGTTCAGACTGTACAGCCAGTTTAACTCTTGGCCTCTCAGGTGACATGATTTTCAAGGGTAATAGAAAAGACACAGCAGTGCTGGAAGGTTGTGAAAGAAACCCATACTCTGGCCCACGGCCCAGTAGACAACAGAGTCCCTCAGCAAAAGAGAGTTTCCACTGGTGTCACTTGGGAGTTACCCCCAATTTAGCCTTTGTCTCGAACCATCTGGATGTCAAAAGTGCTAATAAGCAACTGACTCACTGGTGGAATAAATTCAGTCTGGTGATTTTTTTCTGGAAGACTGTTAGGACAGAGATACTGGCAATAAAGCAACAAAGCGACTTCCTAAGTTTTGAAGCTGTCTGAGCTTTGCTTGTTGTGAGATGGCCTATTGGTAACTGCGAGAGGGTACTGGAAGGGTCATAGTAGCTCAGCTTTTTCTGTAGGTGAAAGAAGCCCTGTTTGGATTTTGTTCGACACCCTTTTCCTAGCTCTCTTAAAAGGAGCAAGTGTGAATCCCTTCTTAGAAGCCCTGGAATTATTTCACAGCTGTGACAATTGTTGGGAAAGTTTAATGAGACCTGGCAGTTCCCTGAGAGTCATCAACATCATTTAAAATTCGACCACTAAGCTAATGCCAGAGGATAATAGCTTTGAGTCTGATCAATCACAGTATTATGCCAAAAAAAGAGATATTTGTCCTAATGAAGGCTAAGAGTGTGTGTGTGTGTGTGTGTGTGTGTGTGTGTGTGGTGTGGGTTCCGGCATAATACTTTGTCATTTTCCTACGCATTTAAACGGACATTTAGGTAAAGGAAAAGGTCATTTTTGTGAGATGGCTAGTGGGCACAAGTGCATTTATTTCATTTTAAGATCATGTTTCACTTGATTATTAGTGAGAAACATTTGTCAAGAATTTCAACTTCAATATTTCATGAAATTATCTAAAATAGAGCAACACTGGTAATGAATTGGCGCACAGCAACCACTTTTTTCCCCCCATTGGGTTAAATGTCTGTTTCTATAATAGCTTTAAGATCATTTTTCTTTTGCATTTTCCTTGGAAACTTCACACCTCAGGAAAAATATTCCAGGCACTTTCATTTTAAAGGGCAACTCACATCTGTCACATGTCATTTAAAACATTGGTCAAGAAGTTAACCTAATGTCACAACTCTCTGTCCTATACGCTAGTTCTCTATGACCCAGAAAATAAAGTTAATGAGATATACTATGTGCTTTTTAGGCTCCAGGCATAGCTGTAAAGGCTTTACATTTAGTAACTCATTTAGTCCTCATGTTGCTGCTGCTGCTGCTAAGTTGCTTCAGTCGTGTCCGACTCTGTGCGGACCCCATAGACGGCAGCCCACCAGGCTCCCCCGTCCCTGGGATTCTCCAGGCAAGAACACTGGAGTGGGATGCCATTTCCTTCTCCAATGCAAGAAAGTGAAAAGTGAAAGTGAAATCGCTCAGTCGTGTCCGTCTCTTCACATCGCCATGGACTGCAGCCTACCAGGCTCCTCCGTCCATGGGATTCTCCAGGCAAGAGTATTGGAGTGCGTTGCCATTTAGTCCTCATACTGACCTTATGAATTAGGGTTGTTGTTCAGTTGCTCAGTACTGTCCAACTCTTTACGACCCCATGGACTGCAGTATGCCAGGCTTCCCTGTCCCTCACCACCTCCATCGAGTTGGTGATGCCATCCAACCATCTTGTCCTTTGTCATCCCCTTCTCCTCCTGTCTTCAATCTTTCCCAGCATCAGAATCATTTGAATTAGACCTCACCTAAATCAACACATGTAGGCTTTTCCTTTTTTTCATGTAAACATGTTACTTTTTTAAAATTTTTATTGTAGTTGCTTTATGCTGCTGTGTCATTTTCTGCTGTAGAGCAAAGTGAATCAGCCATATGTATACATACATATCTCCCCTCTATTTTAGGTTCCCTTCCCATCTAGGTCACCACAGGGCACCGAGTTGAGTTCCCTGTGCTACACAGGAGGTTCTCATTAGTTATCTGTTTTATACATAGTAGTGTATACATGTCAATCCTAATCTCGCAACTCATCCCACCCCTAGGCATCTTCTTGAATTCAATTCCCAATTTATTAAATCATTTATAAAATACTTACAGAATGTATGCAAAGTGCTGGGTGTTCTAGATACAAATGTTCTAGAATGTATGCAAAATGCTAGGTGTTCTAGATACAAAATATGTATAAGGCTGAATACTCTGTCTTTTAGTAGGTCAGGGTTAAGAAATTAGTAGTTCTGCTTGCAGCTGATTTGCTAGACATTGTATAACTGATGGAGCATATTAATAAGGCTTCTGGCCTGTGGTACATAGCTGTCTATATGGTGAATGAATTCTTGTCTATTCCAGTTAGAAGAGAGGATCAGAAATAGTTCACATTCCTGTGGGACAGACAACAATATACATTTAAGCTTTTGCCTCGGGGCTGTATTAACTTTGCTGCCCTCTGTTATAATATACTCTGAAGAGATCTGGACTGCCTGGAAATCCCACAGAACATCTCACCGATACATTATTTTGATGGCATCATGCTGATTGTTCAGGATAAGTAAGAAGT